AAATTTGCATGCCTTTAAAGAGATTAAGTTAGTATCATTGTATTCCCCAGCAGTGCAACTATATAAAAGTGTACCAGATTATTTTTGGATTACCACGCACTCTGTCCTATTTTACAAGTCCTCTTCAGGACACTTCCATCATGAAGTGCAGGGATCTGTCTGAGCAGTGTGTACCAAAACAGAGGCTGCAAATCAGCCCTCAACTTCTACGTAGCTTAACCTATGAAAAAGAGCAGTTAGTAATGTTAGTGAAGGAATACAGAGACCTAAAGGAAATGTATTAACTACCTAATCCTTCAAGGAGTACTAAAATCAAAACAATTTATAGTCAAGTACTCCATTTAAGCATGGGTGTGATTCAGAGGTAATTCACTAGAAACATTAATTTTACATAAAATCATCAATTTAAATTACTGTTTAAAATAATTGTACAAGCTTGTCTCACCCTTGCCTTTACCCTTTGACTTACAGATCAGATTTAAATGTCGACACTACAAATCTTCCTCTAGAATTATTTTTCTCCAGGCAATATTGTAAATTATGTATTTGTTTTACTAAAATTGATTTTAAATCAGTCAAACACAAACTCTGTATACACATATAACTCGATTTACAATTAGCTCAAAAAAACATAGCAGAACTTAGTACAAAAAAGATGATTGCAAACTAGTTTAAATCAGAATAGAGGTTGCAATTCTATGATCAGGGTAAACAGAGAACTTGGACCTAGTGTCTGCTTTGCAGAATTTATCCAGCACTAAACTTTTCCTGAAAGCAAAATGAATGAATATTTATATCTCTCAAAAAAATACTTCCTTTACAAAACTGCAAACTTACTTTAAACAGTTTAAATATCATTAAACTTGAGAGGTGACAATGCTGTGTTTTTTCCCCGCAAAAAAAAATGTACTTCTGCTTTCTGACTAGTTCTTCTGATTAGTTCTACTAACAATTTTCTACTAAATACTAGTAAAGCTAAAGTATTTTTACTAGGTTTGCCTTTTGCTAATGTGTCATGGTTTGGCCATTGACATATCTTGCAGAATAAATATATTATTGGATGAATTCTTGAACTACACTTAGGAGTCTTTAATGTTCCCAACAATTCAGTGGGAACTTCACTGCTGACTTCAACAGTTAAGGTTAAGCCTATTCTGAACATGTCTAAAAATGCTCAGGATAATAGAATGGATTGACATGAAACACTTGAGCATTGTATTTCATGAAGCTTTTTAGATACCTGAAAGACAAAGCTTTGCAGGTTAAATATGGGTTTGGTAGTATCCCAGAGATATGATGGCATATATAAGTGATAGTTGTATATTAGAATTCTGGAGGAAATGGGCACAATAAATCAGGGGACGATGACTCAATGTGTATTGAATCCAAGAAGCACCAAAAGATGCTGTTTTTGGTGAAAATTAAAAGGAGGAAGTAAAATTATTTTTAATAATAGACTACAGGTGTATTCAAAAGGAGGAAGCTGGTGCTTCTTCTGATGTATTCTGAACAAATGAGGAAGGTATTCAAGAAGCTTGCCCATGAGATAACAATGGATTTCAATTACTTGACTGCCAGTTAGAAAAACAACATGGCAGGGCTAAAATGTCCATCAAATTCTTGCAATATTTTAGGGATGTACTTTTGCTTCACAGGACAGAGACAGTTTTAACAGACAGCATGACAAAGGGAGGAGCTCATTTTGATTTTAAAGGCAGGAAGTAAACTGAGTGAAAGTGATCATGACACATTAGACCAAAATTGGCTTCCCTACTCTGAGAAAAAGAGGAAGAAAAAGCATATCAGCACTGCCAACTACGGATTGCATTGTTATGTAGAAATAGTTAAGCTAGCTTTAATCAAGCTAGTCTAGGTACTAAAAGCAGGCTCATCATAAGAGTATGCCATTCCATATGAGTTAATTAACCTCCTTACTGTATGGTCTAGGCCTGAGATCAGTCATTTAAAGCTAACCTAGATTTTCTACCAAGAACAATAAACTCATTTTTAATTAAACATACAATAGCAAGCTATCTTGATGTGAACAAAAGGAAGCAGGGGAAGCTTAAGTAGACGGTGTTAACATCACATTAAAAGCTCTTCAAAGATTTGAAAAAAGTCACAATAAGCAGACATGACTAAAGAGTAACACAAAAGAATATGAATAAAAGAATAAAATTACAAAGCCTACAGTGCAAAATGAGTGACAGGTAAAAAAAAGTATAAAAGGCAACAAGAAAATGTTCTGGAAATACACTAGAAGTGCTGAGATACTCAGTTAAATTTATCTTACCATAGAATTTAGAGAAGGAATTAGTTAAAAAATATGTAAGTTGTATGTAATTGAGTTAATTATGAGCAAAAATAATCTCTGGGCTGCTAAAATACTATATAGGTTTGAAGAGAATTAAAAAGGATAAAATGCATCTATCTAAGGAAAGCAGGCCTAAAGCTATACAGATTAATTTTTACCTCAAGGAATATTCTAGAATAAACTTCATGATTAAGAGGTTAGCGTAAGGTTGCTAGGAACACATGCACTCACTGTAGTCTAATGTCCTTTTTCACAGTCAATGCACTGATTCAGAAGAAAAAGAGAAACAGTAAGTATCAAAGATCTTGAGTTTAGTATCATTTAGACACCATCCCACAACAGTTTCTTTAAAACAAAATGCAAAGGAAACATAATTTTCATGAAAGCACCAACCAACTGGCATGCTGTTTGCAAAAATCAGACTTGGAGAACACCTGCAGTGAGAACTCATAAGGATCTGTTGTCATTTCAGTTCCATTCAGTACTTCCATTAGTGATCTGCAAGATGCAACAGAATATAGATATATGAAAAATCTGGTTCTCACCAACCTAGGAGCCAGAAGACAAAATCAGATTTCAAAACTAGTTTCGTAGGTAGGATAAATGTCTAAAGTTAGCAGGATGAAATCATCAAGGCTAAGGCAAAATATTATACCTGAGAAGAACTTACATGTACAGCATAAAACAGGAAGAACTAGGTGGCACTATGTTAGAAAAGGTTCTGAGCAGAAGCTTCTGTCATAATAAGAAAAACAAGTTCTTTTTGCGATGTATTTATAAATGTTCCTCTCATCTGTGACACATGGGACATAATTACTGCACTCTTGTTGGTGTTGATGGCTTATACCTTAAGATAAAGGTAAAAGTCACACTGGAAAGAAGCCAGAGTAAAGCTGTAAAAAGAAATCATTCATGAGTGCAGTCTAAAAGAAAAGTTAACAAAACCAGTTAGTCTATGAGAAGATGGTATACATATCTGCTCATATAAACAATTAAATAAATAAATATATATATATTTATACACCAATATTTATTAAAACGTATTTGAAGCACATAAATATTATTTACATTGGGTACTGCCTCCAGCTCTGGGAACAAGACAGGAAAGACATTGACCTGTTGGAGTGAATCCACAGGAGGGGATGGTGGATGAATAGAGTTGGTGGAGCAACTCTCCTACAAGGAAAGGCTGAGAGAATTGGGATTGCTCAACCTGGAAAAGAGCAGTCTTCAGGGTGACTAACTGTGGCATTCCAGTACCTGAAGGGAGCCTAAAAGAAAAATGGAGAGAGACTATTTACAAGCGCATGTAGTGACAGGACAAGGGGGAATGGCATCAAAAAAGAAAGGGGGCAGGTTTAATTAGATATTAGGAAGAAATGCTTCACTGTGGGGGTCATGAGGCATGGGAACAGGTGGCCCAGAGAAGGGGTGGATGCCCCATCCCTGGAAGCATTCCAGGCCAGGCTGGATGGGGCCCTGAGCCCCCTGGTCTAGTGGAAGGTGTCGCTGCCCATGGCAGGGGGGTTGGAACTAGATGACCTTTAATGTGCCTTCCAATCCAAATCTATATATGAATCTGTGATTCTATGATTTCCACTGGAAGTATGACAACATGGAATGCAGCAAAGAAAATTCAGGCTGGCTATTGGACAAATGCGTATTTATAAATGCTGTTAGGCATTTGTACAAGCTACATGCAAGCATTGCAGATTTCCTTCAAACAGGTGCTTTTACAAGTCGATTAGAGAAATGGGTCTTGCAGATGATACCAATGTTTTGCAAATTCTGATCTGTTGCCTCCTTAGATTCTGTGAACTACTCCTAAGAGGACCCTGAAAGACAACACTTCTTCATATTCATGTCCACAAACTGAAAATGTTTGAGTAACACTGATCAACATACACCTGAATCAGACTCAGCACAGAGAGTAAATCAGACAATGTCTTGAGGCCTAGAAGCCTAAAACTCTTTTTATTCCCATGTGGAAAATTACATCACCTCCATGAATCAGTTTTTTTAACTTATAAATACTCAAAAAGCAGCAATTTTCTACTGTACAAGAGATCGTAGTAAACATGTCATTGAGATGTAGTGGCAATTGTATGAATGGAAGGGTTTTTATATGAACTAAGGAATTTTATTTACCTCCCCTTTCCATAAAGTCTTTCTAGGCAGTGACAGGACTTGAGGTAACGGCACTAAACTGAGTCAGGGCAGATTTAGATTGGATATCAGTGAAAGGTGTTTCACCCAGAGGGTTGTTGAGCACTGGAACAGGCTCCCCAAGGCAGTGATCACAGCACCAAGCCTGACAAGGTTCAAAAAGTGCTTGGACAGTGCTCTCAGGCACACGATGTGACTCTTGGGGATGGTCCTGTGCAGGGCCAGGAGTTGGAGTCGATGATCCCAAAGGGTCCCTCCGAACTCAGGATGTTCTGTGAGTGTAGGCTTTCAACACTTGTCAGGACTTCACCTTCTGCCCGGGCAGCTCTTGCCACACGCGTCGCGGGCGGAATGAATCTCACTGCAGTGGCACTGCACTGACAATTTTTATTCTAACCCAGGCACAGGGGCAGTTTCGCGGTGCGATAGAGCGTGAGTTTCCCTCGGTGCGCGCAGAGAGCCCCGCGCCGCAGAGGCCCCGCAGGGCCGCAGAGACGCCGCAGCCCGGGCGAGGGCGCAGAGCGCCGCTGCCGCCAGGATCCCTTTCCCCGGCTGCCTGAGCCACCTTCCCCCGCCTCTCCGCGCTATAAACGGGGCGGGACGGGCCCGCCAGCCCGGCTGCGGCCGCGGCCGGCCCGCTCTCCCCGCCTCCCTGAGGCGCGGCCTGGCCTGGCCCGGCCCGGCCTGCTGTGGCGGCGGCACCGGCACCTCGCCCGGGCGGCTTTCATGGCTTTCATCCGCAGGCGGCGGCTGGAGCGGGAGCTGTACTCCAAGGAGAGGTGAGCGGCACTGCCCCGGCGCTGCCCCGGCCGCCCCCGCTCGGGCGCGGCCCCGCGGCGGTCCCGGCGGAGCGGCCTCCAGGGAGGCCCCGGCGGGGCGGCGGGAGCTGTGCCCGGCTATTGCTGCACTGCCTCGCTTTGTTACTGTTCGGGGTCAGGTGGCTGGTGATTCCCCGGAGTTAAGGCCGAAAAGGGTGTAGAAAGGACCTGGGAAAATGAAAATGCTGCTTGCCTTGTGTAAACTGCATGTAAATAGCATCTGTATATTTCTGTTTATTTTTCCTCAGTTGTGTTGGTGGCATGGAGCTACAGCTCCATGTGTAGCTCTGCTACACTGGAGTTTGGGGTTTTTTCTTTGCCTTTTTTTTTTTTTTCTTTCCCTCTCTCTCTCCCCTGAACACTATAATCAGTGTATTGTCAGCCCTTAAATTACAGACTCTGTGCTGGCTCTTTAAAGTATTAAATTCAATTAGCCCTTTCCTGCTTGTTGACTGTAATCTGTTTTCTTTCTGGACATGCAACAAAGGCTCATCACACGTGCTTGAAGTGTATCCTGACTTTACTCCCTTATTTTTAGGTAGTGTCCCACTTTCTTTTTATGTGGCTTATCTGCATATGGCTTGTTGCAGAGTTTCAAAATCCTTTCCAATCTTTATATTTCCAGGTAGGAAGTATAAGGTGAGAGCAATAGGTCGGCGTGGGTCGTGCAGCAGAGGGACACGGTGGGAACAGGGATCCCCCGTTGTTTCCTGCTGCAGGAACCGTGTGGAGGCATCAGACTGGTCCCGTGCAAGCCCTGTGCAAATTCCTGTTGCAGGTCTCTGCTGGTTACACAGCACTGTTTATTGTTGTTGAGAAAACCGCATGATGAAGAGCTGGACTCACTCTGTCCACATAAATTCTGATTCATGGCTGTACAGCCCGTGACGCTACCACATCCTCTGAAGTGCTTTTTGAAGTACAAACGTGTTCAGGATCACTTTTTGTCTTCTTGTTTATCTCGTTTTTGGGGGCTGCTGTGGTCTCAGTTGTGTGTGAAGGGCTGCAGGGAGAATGGAGAGTCTTCTTGTGTAGAAGGAAAAGAGAAGGATTTTTAATTTGTTTTAATTATTTTTTAAGTAAAACATCTTAATTGTAGGAAAGGCAAGAAGAATGACTCTGTTAGCTCTGTTAAGGATGTAATGTAAATAGTCTCCTTTTTTTTTTTTGAGAAGCTGAGAAAAAAGGCCAAAACTCATCAGACTTGTCTCAAAGATCCCAAGTGGGATCTAAATCTCTTCTAAAAAGCCCTGAAAACAAACTCAACATATTAATGTCTGCCAGCATTGCTGATCTGCAGTTATTGATGAGAACTTTTTTCTTTGCTCATACTTGGAAGCATTTCAGGATTTTATTATTTGAGTTCGTAATTTGAGCTCTTCATGAAAGATGAGTCTCCTTCTCATTTGCTCTGGCAGCTTTTCCTGTATCTGCAAACTCATTTCTCTGTTTCTTGCCCTTACCTAACAATTGATATTTGTGTAAAATCAAAGTAAATTTGTATATATTTTGTACCCCATATCAGGTCTTTCCCCTCCCTCTCTTCCTGTGCTTTTCTGAATTAGGAAATCTTAAAAACATTTAAGTGATTTAAAAGATTTTGAGCTTTGAAATGTCAGATTAGAAATACCGAATTTTTATCACCTGTTTTCCTCAAAGTTCTCCCTTAAAACAGCAAAAACCTCTTCTCTTTATTGCTTAATTGAAGGGACAACCTCTGAGAACTTTTCTCCTTCCTGCTGGGTGGTGGTTACAGAGACATCAACTTCTGCTTTAAAGCTTCTCTTGGTCTTTGTATCCTTGATGTAGATATTTCCTATTTGAGATGGCCAGGACTTTTTGAAACTTCGTGGCAGCTGCATTTGTTGTGTGGTTTTGGGTTTAGGTTTTGGTGTTGTTGTTGTTGGTTGGTTGGTTTTATTTGTACATTGCTTTCCACAAAGCAATAAGCTGTAGAAGTTCCGGTTAAGGGTCCTGTAAAACTTGGTAAGCAAGTTAAATCTTCTTATGCGGTTGCTGGGGGGGTGGGGTGGGGTGGGGTGGGGAAGGGGAGATCAGAGTGGTTTTAAGTGATCTGAAAAAAAAAAAAATTCTTCTTAACTAATTAGTTAGTCTGCTTTCACATCTGGTTACATAAACCTTCTTTTCTGACTATATGCCATTTTCTAGTAGAAAACAAGAAAATGTTGAAATGTCCTGTGAGCACACCGAGGACAAGGAGCGGGTTTTACTTTACATTTGATTGAACAGATCCATGTCTCTGCTGAGCAGGGTTCACTCTATAAGGAATTTATCCTTAAAATTCATCTGTATCTCTGTTTCAGCTGTGTTTGTCTCTATTTTCACTTTACCCAGGTGTTCAGGGTGCAGTTATTATGTCCCTTTTTAGTTAGTGCTGTATGCATGGTTATCCAGTTTATTTAATCCCTAAAATATTAATCCTTCATGACAGGAATCCTTTTTTTACAAACAACTTTAGTTCCAAAACTTCAAATTAAATTACATGGTGTTTTGGCTCAAGTTGTCACTCCCTTAGTAAACTGATTTCTCGGTTGTGTTGGCAGCGTGCCCAAAGGTGGGCAAGTGTAACACTGTACCACTTGATACATAGACTCTATAAATAGTTCTCCTGGTTTGTCTTGCGTGGTTCTTGGCTTCCAGTGTGAGGAGTTCACCTCTTCTGCTGGAAGTATCACTCACATGACACAACCTACTGGCAGCATGTAGGAGCTGAAGATGGATCTTTTGTGTGATGGCTGCTTGTGCATTGGGTCTTTTTTGTTTGGTTTTTTGGTGGGTTTTTTTGGTGTGTTTTTTTTGTTTGTTTGGTTTTGGTTTGTTGTTTTGTTTTTGTTTGTTCTTTTGGGTTTTTTTTTTTTTTAATCTGGAGCATTATCTTACTCTGTTGGGACAAAATAGACAAAATGAAAGCTTTTATTCAAACATCAGCAAATGAGTCCTACAGCTGGCCTGTAGATACTTAGCTTTTGTTAGGAGAGGGTTTAATTTTAGAATTGGTTTTACATAACTCTGGGCTGCTGCTGGATTGGGCTGGTCTGCTTTTTCATCCCTGGCAACATCCTTTTATTATCAGGATTGTACTTCCAGTATCGGGTCAAGTGATTGTGCAAGGTGTAGTGGATCAACCACTTGAAATCCTTGTGTCCAAGTAGATTTCCAACATGTGCTTTTCTGATGAAGTGATGAAAATAGTAAGAATTCAATCACACATCAGGAATTTAAAGAAGAATCAGTGGGGTACCTTCTTTGGGTGGTGTAAACAGGCTTTTGCCAAGGCACTGATCCCTGCACAGTCATTTCTGTGTCCAGTTTGAACAAGTCCAGCGCTTCAGCTGGTAGGCAAAATTGGTATATAAAAATATATGGGTGTATAAATAAGTATATAAAATGAACTGTGGGTTTGTTGTTGGTTTGGTTTTTTTTTCTGCCCACGTTTTTGGTCTCAGATGAGGTTTTTTTTCAAAGTGATGTATAGAGGAACATGCTCATCAAGCAAAGTAAAAATAGAATTCTCAAGTAGACTAAACCTGATGCAATACTCTTTCTATTTGGAGGATATTTCGTAGTATCTTGGCAGGACTTTCAAAGCCCAGTTTGCATTTTGTAAAGTGTGCTTCACTTCATTGTTGCCTACTCTGAACAATGCTAGGAATGTTTGGGCGCTGTTTGGGGTTTCAAATCTTATGTATTGAGAATGACATCACATGAAGTGAAGTTTTTCAAGTGTTTTCCTGCTACTTAGGTCCTAGTTTTCCTATGCATCTTGGGTGTGTTCTTGACTCGTATTCCTCAGCCCTTTTCTGAGTGGCAATTATGTGGGAGCTCTTTGAAAAAGGCATTAAGTTTTGTTTTTCTTGGCAAGGTCGCTGCTTTTCTTTTTTTTTTTCTTTTTTCTTCCCCTGAAGCTGCTTCTCAAAGCAATACTGATTCCCTTCACTAGAAAATACTGTCCACATCACTTGCATATGATTTTTTTCTGTTGTTCTTAGTGTAATTTTTTGGGGAATATACAAAGCTAGGAATTTGAAATAAGTCAAGCAAAATTATACTGGCATGCTTTAATTTACTTCTCCCCTTAAGTGTAGGTGTTTGCCTTTTAAGCTCAAACAGTTCCTCATAGACTAGTAAAAGATTAACTCTTTACTCCACCAGGTTCTGTATACTTCTCACACTGGGTGGGAATCGAAGGTGTGCTAACACAAAAGCAGTTAGAGCCTACATTAAAGTTATCTGGGGGGAGGTAGAGGTGAGTGTGCCTATATGATATTGATTATATGTTGCTTTGCCTCCTGCCCCCACCCTGCTCAATACAATCTCCTACAGACAGGCACAACTCTATGGCTGAAAATCTTTTTTTCCATTTTAGATCTGTGAAACTTCTTGTGTTATTTGAAGTTAGTGGCATTGGTTTTTCCAGCTATGTGAATTGTTATAATAGAAGATACTCCCTTAGCTATCATGTTCTTCTTTCTCCCCACACCAAGCTGCTGCTGCTGTTGATTTTGAATACAGAACTTACATTGAACATGAGAAGTAACAGCATAAGTGCCTTTCCACCCACTTACAGTGAGCTCAAGCTTGTAAAGCTCAAGGCTTTGCCTGGGTGGCAGCAGTGGCTACCAATTTATTTCACCCTGAGAAGTGAAACTGCCTCTTTCTCAGCACCTCTGACAGCAGAGCTGCTGTGCAGGTTTGCTGCCTTCCAAAGGGTAAGGCCTTGTTGCCAACCACCTTGTTCTTGCACCTGACCCCTTCACATTGTACTGGCTCTGGTACTTCATGTGCCCTTCCATGGACTGATCCAGGTTACTAAAACTGCAAAACTGTCCTGAAGAAACTCCACAGTTCTGAACAGAAGCTCGTTTTCTGTTCTATCTGCTAATGTGATAATTTTTTCAGTTGTAATTGGCTGATCTCCACAACTGTAAGTAGTTTTTGAG